AACATTTTCTAAGAGTTTTGGATGGTGCTTGGAAATAACGGTAACTTCTTCGGCCACGTCAAGTTTTTTAATTTCTTATTTTTTCTTCAGAATAGTACAGATCGTCGACATCAAACAGCCATAAGTCTTTGCCTATTCCGTCTCTCTTAAACCACGCTCATGTTTTTATCTATGATTTCTTTCTTAATTTCAACGCCATGTCTTCCTTCTTTTTCTTTGCAGCACTAACTGAGGCAACAGTCTTCTTCGGAAGCATCGTAAAATAATTATTTTCACGTTAAATGTAATAAAAAAAATTAACTCACAAGCACACAAATACATAGATCAAAGAACACTGAGTTATCTGACCAGGTTATTTCCTCGAGTCGAGCCGGATCGGAAAACGGGCCACCATACCAACAACCTGGCTCGTTGCTCGTTACTCGAGTCAATGCTCGTATTTAGAGACGAATGTTTCGCTCATACTTTCCTCGTGTCTCGAATTTCTCGTATATAGAGGTGCTCGTTTTTCGAGGTTCCACTGTATATCGGTTTCGAAATGTAATCTTGCTGCTTTCCGTGTCCTGAAGCGTGGAAGGGAGTCTTCTTTTAGTACTTAAAAACTCTGGCATGAAGTATTAAATGTTGTAAAAGTTGAAGTATTTCTATTCAGAAACAATAAGATCCTTAATTGCTTTTAAATTATTGCCCTAATTTTGTTTCGTTAATTTTTAGCAAACGATATAGATAAGAGAAATGCGAACAATATTAAATTGGTGATAAAAGATCGTGAAAAAATTTTAAGTGGTGAAAGGCTTTATAATTATTAAAACCTTTTACTTTTCAGTCAGGAATTCCGAACATATATTTAGGTAGGAAAAATTTGACAAGCTTAATTTTGAATATCCACACGAATTATAAGATAATGTAAATCTTTTGAATATAAAAGTACACGCTCAAATGGGGCCTAATTTTATAAATGTTGAAACTGGTGAATAACACTTCACAATAACATTGAGTAACTGGGTGCACTGACGTAATAGGAGGGAACTGATAGTTTATGAGCGTTATGTGTGTTTATTACATGAATGTATGTATTTTTGCTTGGAGAATTCACACCAGTTGTTATAATCTGAATTTTTTGAACTAATACACATGGTTACGTTCCTGATAAATCTTAACAGAATGAGAATTTAAAATTTATTAGATTAAAAAAATGATAGATTCCGTTCCCTTTCTTTGTAAAGTAATTACTGTTGTTAATGTATTTAAAAATTAAGAACAGTCAGGTTTGATTTCGTTTGGTTAATTACGGCAGGGCTTCGAGGGCTATCTCCCTAAGGGAAGGGATGCATTCGTGGAGAACTTTGTAAAGAAAAATGTTTCGTATACTCACAGAGAAAACTACCAAAACGCCTATGCAGCCAGCCTGTACACGGGATTCGAACCTCGGACCCATTGATCGCGGTACTAGATCTTTCGGTCCCATTGGCTACCAGTGTTAAGCGACTTTACTACTCGGCCGCTGGTGGATTAAGAACAGCCACATATATTGAAAGCATTTGTTGTAACCTGAAAAAATTCTAAATTTCTGAATATTATTGTACTATGTTCTTTTAAAAGTATATTAAAAAGGGCAGTCAAAATTCGTTTTTTACTTACTGTTCAATATAAAGAGGAAAAAAAGAATTGTATTATTCTACTAATTTACTAATTAATATTCTAACTAATTCTACTAATTTAATACTATGTAAAGTTCTAAAGTGCGATGTATAATTTTTTTTGTTTGTTTTGTTCATAAGATGTGTGAGTGAATTATTCTCAGCTTATTTATTATTTTCATTTTGAATATTAAAAAAATGAATATAATATGTAATAGTCAGCGTGTCTCATATTTCGAAATTAAGCGATTTCAGATATGGAGTGAAATTAAATCAAGAATCCTCAAGTTCCCCATACCTATTGCTTCTTGCAAATCAAACTGTTTTGTAGCTCTAGAAATTTCATACTAATTTGTCCCATTGGCTAATTTACTGATGTGAGGTTACATACACATGTATATGTGTATGTGCGTGTGTGCGCGTAATTTAACTTTTTTGCACAGTTCTGTCATTCCATCAAATCACAATTAGCTGCTGTCATAAGGTGGCATAAAGGTTCCTGTTTGGAGCTAGGGGTATTTTGGCTTGCTAAGAACGATCATTCCTCGTGTATAATGCGTTAGACCATTTTTCCTGTAACAAAATTCTGAAATTACGGGACTAAATATACCCAAGTCCTATATTGTCAAGATATGCAACTGTTAAGGTTTTCAGCTTATTAAAATTCATGTTATTGTTAAAACTTGAGTTAGAAGTTCATTTCAACTGTGTGACACAACCCAGGGTTTGCGTAGTGGTTTCGGCCATTACACCAGCCTTTTTCAATAAATTCTCCCTTTAGTTAATGTTATATATCTTTCGTTAACAATGGCATTTAATATGAGGGCCAGACAGTTTATGCAGATTGTGATAGTATGCATTAAAAGTCAGTCACACAGTGCAGTTTTTGTACACAGAAGGTCCTAAAGAAGATTTACATTTTGAGATTTTCTAAACGAATGCTTCATTGATATATAAAATTACTGTATGTAGTTAACACTTTTTATTCTTCTGGGTTGTTAAGGTATTATCTCCCTGCTTTCCGCATGCCTTCTTAGTGTAATTGTAAAAATACTCGACGCGAGGGCAGCGCAGATTTTTCACGCCTCCAGCATTAAAAAAAAAAAAAAAAAAAAAAAAAAAAAATTAATGATTCTGCAGTATAATATTGAAGAACTAAAAGGAAAATTAAAAAAAAAGAAGTTTTCAAAATATCATATTTTTTACTAGTTTTGTCGTGTGAATTTCGAGAGGGAAAAGTTATGCGAATAATTTAATTTCCGAAGGATGCGGGTGCAGTAAGAACATGACAGTGAAAAGTAGTCACAGATAAACAAACTATAGGTAATTATTAGAATATTATTTCTTCTAAAGAAACTTATTTTCTATTAAAAATACATAGTAATATTAATATTACAATACCTTATGTCTTCATTTTTTTTTTCTCTGTAACTTGATTCTCACCGGTTCTTTTTGTTGTCCTTGATACTTCTTACGCCTCAAATCATCCATAAATAATTACAAATGAATGTGCAGCGAAATCGTACACTGAATGTCAATTCGTGTTTGCTTCGCTATGATTTGTCAGTTTTTGTAGTAGGGTAATATAAAGTTCAACAGTTAGAAGGGAAAGTTTCGGCGTGACCTTCGCAGTTAGTTTGCGAGGATTTGTCTGTGTTAGTAAACAAATACAATCACTACTTGACGAATCTCTTTTAAAAGTTAGGGGATGATCTTCTCTAACTGCATTGAGGAAGGCGAAAATTACGCGATTATTTTTAAAATTTTCCTAATATGGCTGTAAAAAGCTAAGGTGGGGGGAACTGGCGGAAATACGCTAAGCAAGTAAATGAATACTTCCAAGTTAAATAATTTTTGGCTGTATAGATACCGTATGCGAATAGTAATTTAATCAGTTTAATTTCTTCGTATTTTTATCCGTCTAATGTTACCATTGTTGTAACTATAAACAAACATTCTTGTAGGAAACCATTCTTGTTCTTCTAACCATTCTTGTAGAAGATCATAACAATTCAGAACATTTGGAAGAATTCTAAGCCTTTCAAATTACAACAATTCATTAACAGTGTAACAAACTGAGACATTTAAAAAAATATATACCTATTTGTATGCTTGTGGATAATTTGTATCTTTGTTTCAGTTTTAATGTGACTTATTAATTTGAGATAAATAATTTTTAAAAATATTCAGTTTATTAGTGCCATTAACAAACATTTCCAGCACATTTTTTTAACAACCATTTCAATCATAAAAACAGGTCTGTTATATATTGAGTTGAAAAATTGCTTTTGCCTAGGAACGAACTTCCCCCCCTTCCCTTGAGGAATGTATGATTTTATGTAAAATTTAAAAATAGCTCTAATTAAGTGAGTACATTACTTCATTCATGCGGTTTTAAGTCAGGGAAAACATCTTTAAAAAATGCGATTTTGAAGTAGTATTAGTAAACCGTTTTCATTGCTGATGTTATCACTGTTGTTAAAGCTATCACTGCCATTACCAGTTTTTTATTATTATTATTTTTAATTTAGCATATAGTCTATACGTTATTGTAGATATATATATACTATTTTGGGGGGAAGGGAGGGAACTAACTCATTTATCCAAAGTTTCAGCATTTTCTTAAACTACTACAAATTATTTTTATTAAAAAAAAATAAGTTTTTTTTAAAAAAAAAAGTTGGTTAAAAATGTTTGTTGTTTGAATTATTAGAATTATAATAATAAATAATAATTTGATTATTAAGCTAATAATAACCACATTTTTTTTTTGTTAAATTTAATTCTCAGAATGTAATCCAGCGTGGTTAACAGCCTTCTTCTTATCTGTCAGTTAAGCCTAAATTTAGAATAAAAATTCCGACAGTCGGGAATGAGGAAAACACAGATAAATATTATAAAACAGTATATGGAGATTTAGAAAGTAACTTAGTTCAACAGGAGATAATTTAAACGAAGTCCTGTACTTTTGTGCATGAACATGGTTTTAAAATATCATGGATATACCGTGGCATTACCGATATACGTGTAAACCGATGTTTTAAAAATTCATTTGAAGTAAAGTACAATCTCTTAAAATTCTCTCGCGCCTTCAGTGATGCATTTTTAAAAATCCTTAATTCTAAAACAAGCGTTCATGCACCTGTAGAATCGTTAAGATCTTTCTGCCCGGCTTAAGCTTTCTATCAGATCTCAGTTCCCCCCCCTTCTTTGCATCTTGACCTGCCACTCCTTCCTCCAACTCATCCCCCCCATATGGAGATCGGCAGTGTGACTCGCGGCGTCCCCTAGCGTCGGCGGTTCCACCGGAGCCTGCGCAGTGGCGCAAAAATCATCCAGTCTTGCGCGAACCTTCCATGTTCCTGGTTTCCCGCCCGTTTGTAAAGGAAACTATGTGTCGATGGAGTTGCAAATATGTGCAGCCATGCCGTCATCTTGTGCTGTGCAGTATGATTACGCGTGTTGTTTTGTGGACCGAAAAACTGCGTAAAGATGATGTATGTGTGTCTGAAGTTTCTTCACATAACTTCACTATAACTGGAATTCTAAAATTTCTGTGCGTGTGACGGACGGTAGGATGTCTTTCTTCTTATAAATAAATCATAAACTCTTCGGTTAATTAATTCGGGTAACTGATTTTCATTGCGAAGAAAGATGCTATTTATCATATTCGTGTTAAGGTGAACGTGGCAAAGTGAACATGAAAAGATGATGATTCTATTTTGATTTTTGTTAAAAGAGAAAAAAATACAAGTTTTATTATTTTTTTTTTAAAGCGCTTAGTCTGTATTTTACATATGCTTATATGTATACCGATTTTTTTGGTAGGGAAGAAAAGAATAGAACACAGAAACCAGCACTTAATTATCCTGTATTAAATTAGTCAAAAATTCAGCCTTAGATCTTGATATAATTTTATCCAATTTGCATGTTTTCCACAATTAGTGATGTCTGCTCGTTTGGAGGACAACACAAGCACTTACATATGTAAATTATTCAAATGACATTTTCAAAATTTATAAACATATATAGCAAACTTAGACCTAACTTAATGTGATTAAAGGTATTACGGGTAGGCGTGTATAACGAGAACAAGCGCAAGCGTTAAAAATAAGAGTATATTATGGATCGATAGAAAATTTAATTAAATAAGAAATAAAGTGGTGGGGAACATATTTTTTGGCATGCTTTGATTCCGGTATGTAGTATTTCTTTATTTTTATTTTTTTTTCTTCATATCTGCCTGAAGGTGTGCATATTTCTGAATTTTAAATTTGTTATTTTTTTTTTTTTTTTGGTTTAATCTTTCTTTGATCCATAACATGACTTGCTGTTTGTGCTTAATCTTTCATGTTAAGTAATTGGTAAATAGGTATACCTGTAAATTTTGTATCTCTGTGTAAATGGTAGTGTGTATAGGTATAAATTATTTTCTTCGGATTGAAATTTAAACTCGCATGTTTAAAGAGATTATAAATTATTATTATTATTATTATTATTTGACTATTTTCTTCGGGCACTTGCAGTGTATGTTTACTTTTCTTTATAAGGCAAAATTGAAAAATAAGTTAATATATTAATGCGTTTAAAAAATGTCCAAATGTAAGTGGTATAAGCTTTTAACAATAATTAAGATGAATTGTAATTTGATTAACAATGCTAGTGTAGGATTCATCACGAAGATTTAACAGATTTTGTTTTACTGCTTCAAATCCTCATATTTAGTTTATCTTACGAATCCTGATTTATTGTAACGTTTTGTTTAAAATGTGATGAAGATTTTCCATATCTGGAATATCACGTACGAAAAATAGTTTTCACTGTACATTATTAATAAATACAGGTTGAATGCTATTATGAAAAATACGTGGATACATTTTCCTTGATGCCATTTAGCTTCGTGTTCTATTCTAATATAACATTTTCCTAGAATTGGAAAAATATTGTTCAGGTAAAAAACTTTGATTTTCTCGAAATTTCGGTGGAATTTTTTTAAAAAATATGTATGTAATATAATGAATTTTAATAATGTAAGTGTATATGTATGTCATGAATGGTCTCTTAAATGAAAAGTGTCAGCTTAATGTTCTAGGAAAAATATTATTTGATTTAGCGATGTAGTAGTAATATCTTTAATGTGCAACGAAAAAGTTATCACATTATCTTAGTCCCCCCTACTCCCAAAATTAAGTATGCAGAAAAAATACATCATAAAATACCTTATTTGTTGATATTTAATTTCTATGTGTGTATCAAAAATTTCAAATTGCAAAAACCTTTAGTGGTACAGTTTTAAATAGCTACATTTTTAAGTAAATTATACAAGATGAATCACTTATTTTTTCATGATGAACGGTTCTTTTCCACCCAGCTTTAAAAAACTGGGAATACTTTCTCATCGGAAAAAGTAAAATGGATGTAATAATTTAGATGCAGAAAAATTGGTAAATTACATAATTAAAGGGCTTAGGTTTGTTTGATTACCGCAAAACACATGATGGCTGTCCGCCTAAGGGGATGGATGCCTTTGTGAAGGATTTTCTAAGGGAAACTTCCTCGTATACACGTTACACATGAGGAAAACCACGAAAATGCAACCAGCCCGTTCGCCGGGATTCAAACCCCGGACCGAACTAATAGCGAATTTACCGCTTAGCCGCTGGTAGGTCCTCAACATACTCGTAGTTTATATATTTCATCAAGGGTAGCAGAAAATAGGTATGGAATTAAAGATCTAGAATTTTCTTTTCCTGTAAATCTCTGATCACATTTCAGATTTTAGATTGTTATAATGTAAATAATTTATTGTTACCATTTTTTTTACATTGCCTTTTACTAGATATTATGGACGGAAATGTCTAAAGCAGATATCAAAAGATTAGGTTAAGTAAACTGAATATAGCAAAGCTATGTACCTAAAGGGAGGGATGCATTCCTAGATGACTTTCTAAGGAGAACCGATTTGTATTTGCGTTACATATAGGGAGAAACCATAAAATCCAATCATATTGCCAGCTAATTCGTATGGGATCAAATCGGGGTCGAACTTCCAATATTTAGGTGTTTTAGTCACTCGGCTACTAGCGGCGCCAGATGCCAGATGGAAAAATTAATGTAAAAATAATACTGTAAACTAATCATAATTGGGTAATGGTTAAGAAGAATGAGTAAAGATAAAGAGGAAAAGAAAAAATATGTACCTCAACAGGACCGGATTTACATTTGACGAGATCCTAAGCTATTTGAGATATGGGGCCCTTTGTGAGGGATACGGGTCAATTTTTTTTATGCGGGATATGGTATAATTTTTTGGGAAGGGGCCCTAAGCTATAGCTTGTGCAGCTTATATGTAAATCCAGCACTGTACCTCAAGTGTTTAATCTTAATTATAATGCCATATGCAGCGGTTCTCAATCTTTTGACTAACGCGTACCACCTAAACAAAAACTGAAAACAAAAAATCGAAAAAATTTAGTATCACCGCTACATTTTATAATGATTATTTTTCAGTTTCTCATTAGAAATATATATAATATTTTTTTCTCCCATTTGCCCAACCTATTGACTGTTTGTGTTAAATATGCACAAAAAATAAATAAATAAAGGTTTTATTTGAAATACCTTTAAATTTCTTCTCTTTCGTTTCAGCCAGAAGTTAACAAAGGGTGTTATTTTTTAATTTTCGGTTAGAGTTCGATCACAGGAAATTTCTAATAAGTGTTCTTTTTCTTTATGAGATAAAATTTGAGGTACATTTTAACAAAATGGATTTCTAATCGAATTTTCGTTTTCATAATCCTCGGGAAAATACATGTTGAAATTATTTATCAATGAAAAACAGTGATTTTTTAATGTCGGATGCTGATTCTTTTATTTACAATTAATTTTCGGTTAGAAAGCTTTGTAAAAGTAGTAAAAAGCTTAAAATATTATTATCTAATTCTTTGACTATTAGCTCGAGTTTTATATATATATATATATATCATTCCATTTATTTTATTTCTAATGGAAACACTTTGTCCTTGTAATCCTAAATTTAATTAATTTGACTTTCCAAAATATGCTAAAAACACCAACCATAATTCCACTAAATAAATTTTTTTGCAATTCAGATTTTGAATCACAGAGGAGAATTTGAATTTCTGAGCGAAGATAAAAAAGGCGATTTAAAACTTTGCTTCTAGACCACCTTACTTGGAAATGTAACAATAGCGTTTCATGTTCATTGCCCATATCTTGGCATAAAATTGTAAATATTTCTGAATTTAAAGCTCGACTTTTAATAAAATTAACAATTTTCAAAGCTTGATTCAAAATGTTTTTCATGATTTCGGGGTTTGTTTTGGCTAATAAGCTTCGCAATGAATGGAGCAGTAAGTAAATTTAATTTCAGATGACACTTTCTTTATTTTAGAAATAACACCTTAATGTTTTTCCTGTTAAAAGCCTGCCACTGTATACGAGCAATACACTAATATGTTCCAGGGAATATCATTCTCAGACATAAAATTGTCAGTTACTTCGAAAATTGTATTTGCAGTTGCTCTATCATGAAGAGATTCACAAAATAAATATTCTTTGACAATTCGTTTATCTTCTTCGAAACGTATGTAAACTAATAATTGAACAAAATTCGTAATATCGATACTTTCATCTAATTATAGTTTTTGAATAAGTGTCTCTTTTATGGAATTTGCCTTTTCATGAATTCGTCGACTTGCTGTATCATTTGATAACGGATTATTATTAAGTTCATTACTCTGTTTTTCGTTCAATAATGTTTAAACGATATCTTTAGCTGCTGGTAATACAAGGTTTTCTCCAACAGTGTGACCTGCCCAGTCTTGGCAATTCTTATGCTTACTAGGTACCTTCCAAAACATTTTCACTTGAATAATAAAACCTTTCATTACTTGTTTGCTATTTTTGATTTCTGATAATTTTCTCTTAAAATATTCTTCGAATTTATCCTTTAAATTGGCATGTTTAGATTCAAGATGTCTTACGAAACGATGGTTTCATACTTCGATTCGATAATAATTCACGACGAACAATACATTGAGGTTAAGAGACCATTTCATCTCCATTCCAAGTAAACCCAAATGATAAATAATTTTCATTATATTTTCTTTAAACAATTTTTCATTTCTCTTCAATATTCTTAGTGCTAGTAGAATGTTCTGGATCCATCAGATGTGAGTCATCTTTTTTAGGCTTAGTAAATCCCAGCCATTTTTCCATTTTGGAAATCTAGGTTTGTTTTATTACTTTTCAAGAATATTTAAATGCATAATATATTGCGAGTTCTTCAATAGCAAATGGCGATGAAATTACGTAGAAAGAAGACAAAATACCTGCTGTTAAGAGGCAACAAATCGGCTTAAAAAATGATTCTATTTGAAAATAGAGCAATATGATCCTGGTAATGGTGGTGATGTGATGTGTAGACATGCTAATAAATTGATCAACTCTAAAAGAATTATGGCGATATTATTATCTTTTTATAGAAACTTACATTTTTATTTCCTACTAAAATACGCATCCATTTCTTATTACTCCCGTTAAAAACATCATTTATGACAAATTTTGTTATGTCTATGGCTAAAAGAATACTTGTGAAGATAAAAGTGGATCATTTTGAAAAAGTCTGTGAGCAGCTATTGACCTTGAACAAAGCTCAGATCGCATAAATTTGCGAGTTGTTAGAGAAGAAACTTAAACAGAATGTTGAGGTATTTAATTTTTTAATTTAGTAGTTAAAAATACTTTGTTTCTTTGCGTACCACCGGTTGAGAATCGCTGCCATATAGTATTATTATGTGACATTCTTAGCTGATTTTAACTAATATATATATATACTGATATCTTAGTCCATATTTTTGGGCCGCCCCCTCGTTGTTCGCAACTCAAAATAAAAATTCAGAAAGAAAGCTAAATTTGAAATGCAACCTTCCCTAGTCTCTAAATAAAATGCAAGGGTAGGTGACATTTAGAGCACGAGTTAATTATGTTAATAAGTAAATTATATTAATTTTATGATAAAAATATTTAGTAAAGAATATAATGCTTTTCTTAAATTGTCTTTACATAAAATACTTATTGATCTACTATAAAAAAAAAAAAAACCTTATACTTTTAAGGGTTCCTTGCCTCGATAGAATTAGAAGGTCACTCGTCTAGATACTGAATCATCGAAATGGAAACGAAGAAAGTGGGGAAGTGTGCTGGAAACAAATGCCTCCGTTCAGCGACGGCTCCAGAGAGAGAATTCCAGGTAACAGTGCAGAAATTAAGCCTAGAGACACTTAAATGGCTAGGAAACATACCAGTGTCGGGCAGAAACAATAATAGAGGAAATAATATACCAAGCAAAATACAATATACAGTTAATTACAGATTAGGTGACGAAATTGTAGTTGTAAGTGCGCAGCAAATTTGCACACGAATCGATCATCATCCAGACCCCTTAATTAAAGACAGAAGAGTAATTAAAGCTAGAATGATATTCTAAAATAAATTTCGTTGCTGATTAGTGAAGTGCCATTTATGTGTGTAATGGTTATTAAGTATTGTGTATTATAGGGTATATGTGTGTGTGCATACCCATACCACGTACATATATATTGTGATACTTCTTTGGTGAAATGAAGCAACTCCAATGATGGAACACAGCAATAACTTTTATTTAACACTAAAAAAAATGGCGACATACAAAGCAAGAGAAGAAACAGGTATCTATAAACTTATTTCAAAAAAATAATTACATGCTTCTTGCGAGAAAATGCATGCAGCTCTCGAGCCTGCATTTCAATATTGCCAGTAATCTGTACATTATTTATTATTCATCTATTTCAAATGCACGAGAGATTAATAACGATATTAAAGCTGTTACAACCCTCTCCCCCAACGGAGAGACTTTTTCCGAAGGGAAAAGTTCTGTAAAATTTGACAGTTTAATAAGCTCGGCTTGCTCATTTGCTTAAAGCGAAAAGGTAACTTCTCTCATAAGTTTCCAAATTTCAGGCCGAAAATTTTAAATTTTAAACAAATATTTTTACACCACATTTAAATAGCAAGAAAATGGACAGTGTTCAAATTAGTCTTCTTTTTTTTTTCTTGACGGCGCCTAGATCTCTTCCATGGTGGACCAGTTCCTCGCCTATAATTCACAGCAAAGCCTTTCCTCAGTTCCTCTGTGCCTTTCCGATAATATTCAATTCCCATTTGCTTTCGGCAATTGTTTTCTTCGTCTATTAGTAGTGGCTTTGATATTAAATCGAAAGACGAAAGATGATGATAACGCTGCGTTGCAAAATGATTCTCAATATTAATTTCTTTATCGTTTTTCAAATTTTCGTGAAAATCTTCTACGTTTAATTCCGGTTATTTAACTTCTTCTTCAAAGATATCTCTGGATGCTTTATTTTCTTCCTTCATCGGTTTCAAGATCTACTCTTCAGCTGTTTTTCTTTTCCTTTCAGCTCTAGTAAAAACGGCATTAAAATAGTATCGCTAAGTTTACGTTCAAGTGATGAACTAATAAAATAAGGCAATTCAATATTAACAGGAAGTTATGTTCAGTGATGAACTAATAAAATAAAGCAATTCAATATCAACAGGAAGTTACGTTCAGTGATGAACTAATAAAATAAAGCAATTCAATATCAACAGGAAGTTACGTTCAGTGATGAACTAATAAAATAAGGCAATTTAATATCAACAGGAAGTAATAATCTGGTATCACTAATATTACGTTCAGTGATGAACTAATAAAATAAAAATGCGCACGATTATTCGATCTCGGTCGGTGCCTCCAAAATAATTAAGACTGTGATACTTCTTTGGCGAAATGAAGCAACTCCAATGATGGAACACAGCAATAACTTTTATTTAACACTAAAAAAATGGCGACATACAAACAAGAAGAGAAAACATATTCTATAAACTTATTTAAAAAAATAATTACATGCTTCGTGCGAGAAAATGCATGCAGCTCTCGAGCCTGCATTTCAATATTGCCAGTAATCTGTACATTTTTTATTATTCATCTATTTCAAATGCACGAGAGATTAATAACGATATTAAAGGTGTTACAATATGCACTGGATCCTTAAAAGTCCTTAATCCGGCTTATATTTTCCCAACTGCTAGTCGTAGAATTTTTTCTTTTTTTTTTTGGGGGGGGGGCGAATTTTTTAAACACTCCTCCGGTTATTTATATTTAGGAAAAATTTTCACTCTTTAAAAAAATTATGCACAAAAAAGCTCCCATACGACAAAAACTAGAGATATTTAGTTTCAAAATTTTGCAGTATTTGATGTTATTTTGAATTTGAATTAGGGAGTCCGTTAATAAATAAATTTTAGTAATTTGAGGGTGATTTTCTTCCATTGCCATTCTCCTTTGTGATGTATTGGTGTATTTATTTATAATTTTGTTATTGGTACTCCTAAAGAACTTTCACGGAATTAATTGTCAGTTTTCGAAATCTAAAAAAATACGTTGCTTTTTTTCTCATGAAGTTCTCTTACTTAATAATCATAATCTGGCAGTAGTAAAAAAATTCAGCAAAGTACAAATATTTTTAATTTTTAATTAACACAAATAGTATTATGAGTTGCCTATGTGCCAGCATTAAACCCAGCCTGTGTTTTCTAGAACACTAATTCTATAACATTCTGTGAATAAGATCTCCATTTTGAAAAATTACATTGATAATATTTTTCACAATTATCTGAATATAAATGCTTGTCACATAATCTTATAACATTAGAAATTATTTTCTAAATGATACTTTTAATTTCGTACAGATGCAACCATTTCGCTCTTCCAATTTGTGTACGACCACTGAATATGATTCCTTATTTTAATATCAGATATCTCGCTCTTTTTTTTTTTTTTTGTATTGTAGTCAAAACATTTTGTGTTTTATTTATTATAACAAGTACAAAATTTTCTTAAATATAAATGTAGGGACCGGAAGAATGTGTAAAAATTTAGATTTCGTTTTTTAAACAAAATTTATATTTTCAGTTTAACAATACAAAAGCATGAGTCTGCGTCATTTATGAAAGTCTGCGACCGACGGTTGCGAAAATAAAGGCCGAGTAAAACAAAATTATTCTTGATATATATCCAGATAGTTTTTTTTTCAATGTCTTTCATAGTTAGCGGAAATTACGTTTAATTTTTAATTTTTTTTAACTCTATAAGAAAAAATATTTCCTCCTAAAAGGCAAATTTTTATTTACTGTAAAATGATTTTTGAAAATGAAGCACGATGGGGAGAAGCGGCTGGGTATTCAAAAATAATTCGTTTGTGAAGGATAAAACTGAAATAATTTTATTTTTAAGCGATAATGATTAAGGAGAACTGACGATTAAAATAAGTACAATGTAACCTCACGTAATGAGCAGAATTTGCTCTTGAGTCTTATTTGTAATGCGAAACGCTCATTAAGCGAAAATTTTTTTTCATAGAAATCAATGTAAAATACAGTAATGAATTCCATTCCGAAAATATACTCAAAAATCCATAATAATCTTGTTTATAATACATACTTTTTAGAAGAAAATTGTCTAAAAACATTTCATTTTGTCTCCGCTTCTAAATTTTTCGAAAATGAGACATCGTTAAGTAAATTTGTAGCACGCATAGCTGCTGCCGTATTAGGTCCATTGCTTGTCAAAGCTTCTTTCTTCCATGCAGGAGTAATGGTTCTCTTGATGAGCGCTTGTCTCATGATTTGTAGGTCATCTTGTGAGGCAGGCAGGAGTGTTAGGTGTGAGACTTGTCTTTCCAAAACTCTCTGGAATGAAATTGATTTCATAAGTTACCTCAAAACAACGTTTGAAGAGCACTTTAGTTTAGAGCATTTTAAAATTTAAAATGACTTGGACTGTAATAAAGGAGGGGTTTTGGAAGGCAGAAATTGTGTCTTGATAAATTGAAATTCTTTCAAGGAAGTCATCTTCTACTGCAGGAGCATCCATAACAGACAAAGCGCAGAATGGCAAATTCATCGCCCCGACCAAATACTTCAGTAATCCAATCTGTAAGAAGTCGTGTGTCACTCAAAACTTGTTGCTAAACTTCCGCATAACATTTAGCCTGATCTTCTTTTGTTTTGTACTTAATGCTTCTTGAAGGCTCGTGGAGTGTCCGAATGGGAAAGGAGCAGCTGTTTAATTTTCAAATCGCCACTTGCACGTAACAGCAACGTGAGACTGTCTTTCATTGGTGTATGTCCCAGTAATACTGCCTTCTCCTCATCTGTAATAAAGTTCATTTCGATATCGTTTTCTAGAAGACACCCATCTCATTGCAGTTAAGAAACCTGCAACGGATAACCCTCAGAATTCACAAGCTTCTAGCTGCTGAGCTAGCAGTTTCTCTGAGGCCTCACAACGTTGTGGATGGCTGTTCGTCTTTTAAATTTTTCGAATCACCCATATGGCTTGCCTTGAATACTTCCGCCGATGATCCTATTCTATTTTTAATGAAGTTAATAAAAATTAGTTTCACCCTTCACAAATTATGTTTTCGTTAATAGGGTCGCTTGCGTTTTCTCCTCTTTGATGCAAATGAGAAGCAGAACATTGTCGAGAATACATGGCCATTACGTAGAAAATCTTGTAACACCCTTTGAAGCATCAATTTTCTTAGCCTTATCCTTGTTTTTGACGATAGTACAAATCTTTGAAGTGAGTCGATTACATATGTAATCTAAGTCAGCCACTTTCACATCTAAATCTCACTTTTCAATGGTTTGCCGTTTGACTTTTGCAATTTTTCTACTCTAACGTCTGTCTTCTTGGTACATTTTCTTTGGGGGAAAACGTATAAGCATGCTTAAACTTTGCACTAAAAACATAAGTAATAAAATCTTAAATACAACTTTTACAAGCAACATATCGATGACAGAGACTGATAGCCCGTATGTGACGCCATGGTGTCTCCACATCAGTCAATCTGCGAAACATTTCGCCTCATTTTTTGTACACTTTGTTTTACTGTTTTTGCGAATCACTCGTTATGGGAAATGCTTGTTAAACGAGGTTTGATTGTAGTTGAATAATGTTAGAAGATAGTATTTCATACACATATAATAATTTAATGTATCTTAAGAATCCATTTTTTATTGTAGAAGAGCAAAGGAATGGGATGTCTGGAAAACTTACTTTATGTGTAGTCGCACGTTATTTTCTAAAGTTTATTATTAATACTGAGCAAATGCAGTAACCATATTATGAATGAATACGTGCAGAAATTG